GATGATTCATAACCTTTTGTGCATGACACATTCTCACCAGTTGTTTGACTCCCACGAAAAACCAAAACAACTAGGACCTTTACAATGTCCTACATCTCATTATATAGTTCCCCCACCCATTCTCCTACTGCTCCCACCACCAAGATAACCCATCCCCTCCTGTGCCCATCATTCCCTTTTTATATAGTTTTTTTTTTTTTTGCATCTGTGGATTTCCTTAAAGTGTACATTTTAATCTTAGTTGTTTTTAAATTTACAAAAAGGGCATCTTGCTGTATGTAATTTGGGGAACTTCTTTTTACTTAACTTATGCTGCTAATATTTGTCCATATCGTTGTATGCTAGTGTAGTGCATTCTGGCTGCGTGCAGTATTCCAATGTGTGAATATGGCATTCATCCTCTCTCCAGCGGGTGGGCATTTGAATGTTTCCAGGTGTCTGCACTTGTGAACAGTGCTGCTCTGAGTGTTTTGCACACTCCAGGGCACATTTGCAGAAGAGCTCAGGGCAGTGGGCCATGTGGCTACTCCACATGAGGAGGCATTGTCAAGCTAGAACCGAATATCTTTCCTGGTTTTTTTTTTTTGTTTGTTTGTTTTTGTTTTTCTTTTAATCCTTACCCGAGTATATTTTTCCATTGATTTTTAGACATGGCACGTTTTTGTGCAATATTTTGAAATATTGATGTGAGAGAAACACATTGATTGGTTGCCTCCTGCATGTGCCCTGAACAGGGCCCGGGCTGGGGAGAAGCCTGCAACCAAGGTACGTGCCCTTGTCTGGAAATAACCCAGGACCCTTCGGTCCTCAGGCCAACACTCTATCCACTGAGCCAAACCGGCTAGAGCTTTTCTGGTTTTTTGATTATCTGCATTTCCTTTTCTATGGAGTGCCTCTTTGCGCCTCTTATCCTTTCTTTTGTTGGGTTATAATACTTTGTTGTACTTCATGAGAATTCTGCTCTAACCTTTCCATGCTCAACACCCCCGGTGGCCTAGGGAGAGCTGATAGCAGTATCCACTTTACAGGTAAGGAAACAGAGGCTCAGAGAAGTGTGGGGTTTGTTCAAAGTCACAGGCTTAGTGACAGCTCTTCTTTACTGAGCTACTGCCTTCTGAGGCCATTGGGCTTCAGCTAAGAAACCTTCTCTGCCCTTCTCACTGGGTCAGGGCCCGTGTGGTCCCCAGCATCTGCTGACCTAGGGCAGTGATGGTGAACCTTTTGAGCTCGGCATGTCAGCATTTTGAAAAACCCTAACTTAACTCTGGTGCCATGTCACATATAGAAATTTTTTTTAATATATATTTTATTGATTTTTTACAGAGAAGAAGGAAGAGGGATAGAGAGTTAGAAACATCGATGAGAGAGAAACATCTATCAGCTGCCTCCTGCACACTCCCTACTGGGTATGTGCCCGCAACCAAGGTACATGCCCTTGACCGGAATCGAACCTGGGACCTTTGAGTCCACAGGCCGATGCTCTTTCCACTGAGCCAAACTGGTTAGGGCTAGAAATGTTTTGATATTTGCAACCATAGTAAAACAAAGATTTATATTTTTGCTATTTATTTTATATATTTAAATGCCATTTAACAAAGAAAAATCAACCAAAAAAATGAGTTCGCGTGTCACCTCTGACACGTGTGTCATAGGTTCGCCATCACTGCCCTAGGGAGACCTTCTGTGCCCCTAGCCCTCTGTATGTTTCTGAACTCTTCTCTCCAATTGTAATGATTCAGATGTGTTTGTGGTTATTTCATTATTGTCATTCTCCATCAGACTAGGAACTCCCCGAGGGCAGGGACCCACTGCCAGCATGCTGCCTGGAATACAGTAGGTGCTCAATCAATGTTTACTGGATGAACTGTCTCCTTGTCTGCATCCCCAGCCCTCTGGATTCTTTCTGAGGGTTGGGTCTGGGTCTGAGCTGCCTCAGGGTTCCCAACACCATCTCCAAGGAGCACAGAGAATGTTTGTTAAATGAATGAGGGAGGGAGGAGGCAGCTGCATCCATTGCTAGGACAGATCCAGTGCCCCCAGGCTTTTCCTACTTTGAATGGAAATCTCCCCAAATCAGGCCCTGGTTCCTGACTCTCTGGGTCCCCCATGTTCCCCGCCCCCCTTCCCTGTCCTCAATTGCTGACATGAGCCTGGTCTCCCTCAGAACCATCCTTTCTTTACTTCTCCACCCATCACTTAAACTTCCTTTCCTCCAGCCCCTCCCTCCCTCACCCAACTCCACTGCCTCATCACATCACACACGCCACACCCTTCCCCCCCTCCCTCAGGCTTCTACCTCCACTTCTCTGGCTCCTCCTCCTCCCCAGTCCCCTAATGTTGGTGTTCTAGGTCTCTACTCAGCCCCCTTCTTACTTTCCCCTTCAAGAAGCCCATCCACCCCCTCAGATTCCAGCCAAAGGTGAGGTAACCCCGCCCCAGGCTTTGCACCTTTTCCAAAAACCCTTCCTGGACGTCTCCAGACCCTGTGGACTCCTCGCTACCACCGGGTGGAGGGCTCCACCCCAGGTCAGGACTCCGCCTGCCTCCACCCAGGTCTACTACCAGGATGGAATCTGAGTAAAGGGGTTTGTTTGGGCTGTGGGTAACAAAGATTAAAACATTAGGGCTTTAAAAAAGTAGATACTTATCTCTCAGGCAAAAATCTGCACTTAGTGGCCCCAAACTGGAATGGTCAAAGACCCAAGCTGCTGGCATGGCTCAGTGGTTGAGCGTCGACCTGTGAACCAGGTCACGGTTCAATTCCCGGTCAGGGCACATGCCCGGGTTGCAGGCTCGATCCCCAGTGTGGGGCATGCAGGAGGCAACCGATCAATGATTCTCTCTCATCATCAATGTTTCTGTCTCTCCTCCCTTCCTCTCTGAAGTCAATAAAAATATTTTT